CCAAAGGTAAACAGGACACAAACTAGGGACCAGAGCAGAAAACAGCTTTTTCAAACTTTCTGCATTACTGGGAGTTACTCACGTTTCAAGCTTGGTTCTCAAAAAAGAATTGGTTCTCATTTTTTCTTAACTAAAATTATCTTTTTATTCAAGACAAAGCCTCTTTCTTTCCCTTTCTTTCTTTCTTTCTTTCTTTCTTTCTTTCTTTCTTTCTTTCTTTCTCTCTTTCTCTCCCTCTCTCTCTCCCTCTCTCTCTCTCTCCTCTCTCTCTCTCTCTCTCTCTCTTTCTTTCTTTCTTTCTTTCTTTCTTTCCCATTGTCACCTAGCACCGGTCAACTCGTAGAATAGAAGGCCCTCTTATGGGGTACAATGTGAGGACCATGTCATGATAACTGGTCCAAAAATAGCGCTCCTTCCCTGCAGCCTGCTGCGGCTCCACCTTGGTTCATACTTGGCCTGAAGGTTGTACTGTGTTGCTAGCACTGGAGTTGGGGAAATAGGAGTGGCTGGCCAGTGGGTGAAAAGTCCTGAGTGGGTTATGTATACATTTAGGTATTAGTTTTTAAAAAATGTATTGATTAATTGGCTTTAGAGACAGATAAGGGAAGAGAAGAGAGAGAGAGAGAGAGAGAGAGAGAGAGAGAGAGAGAGAGAGAGAGAGAGAGAGAGAGAGAGAGAGGGAATTTTTTATTTATTGCTGCATTTCTTCATGCATTTGTTGGTTGATTCTTTTTTTTATATATATATTTTATTGATTTTGTACAGATAGGAAGGGAGAGAGATAGAGAGTTAGAAACATCGATGAGAGAGAGTCATCGATCAGCTGCCTCTTGCACACCCCCTACTGGGGATATGCCCGAAACCAAGGTACATGCCCTTGACCGGAATCGAACCCAGGACCTGTCAGTCCCCAAGCCGACGCTCTATCCATTGAGCCAAACCGGTTTCGGCTGTTGGTTGATTCTTGTATGCACCCTGACCGGGGATCAGAACCTGAAACCTTGGCATATCAGGATAATGCTCTAACTAACCGAGCTAACTGTCCAGGGCCCATTTAGTCAGTCATGCAATAATACTTGTTTGGCATCTGCATGTGCCAGGTACTGTGCTGGGTAGGAGTGGTTCACCATGACTTCCTTGCCCTCCTGGAATTTATGCCATGCCGGTGCTGGATCTCGCATAGGTTAAGAAAGTCTCCTTGAAGAAGACCAAAAAAGATCCAATATTCAGCCAGGTGGAGAGGGAGGAGTGGGAGAAATAGAGTCACAGAGGCAGAGGGCACTGCACACTCACCAGCCGCAAAGCACAGAGAAGTACCTTGTGATCAAGGAATGGGGAGAAGGCCTGTGTATAGTGGGAGCCTGGTCAGCAAGTGGTTCAAGGACAGCCTGCAGGGTCTGGTAGCCATGAGGATTCTGAACTTCATCGTGAATAGAAAGAGAACTCGTTGAACTCCGAAAGTCTAACAACATCAGTGGGTAATGGATTGGGAGTGATAGGGAGTGCCTGAATGAGAAAGTACTTGAAATTTATGGCTTGAATCAAGGTGAGAGCCAATGATAAACTGGGACAGAGCAGTGAGATGGTGGGAAGTGGGGAGATTCCAGGTACGGGCTGGGGATGGGAACAGAGGGGCAAAGCACAGAGGGGTCAAGAATACTCTTTAAGTTGTGAGCAACCGTGTGGAGCAGTGCCAGTTACTAAGGTGGGGAGCATCAGGGGAGGGAGATGTGTGGACCTATTAAGTGTGAGAGGGGTGAGAAAAACTGGAGCAAGGTCTACTGAAACCATGGGACAAGCTCCTTTTCTCTCCCTCCCCTCTTCCCTCCCTCCAGAGTTTTGTTTCTGTCCAGCAACTGCCTCATTCTTTCAGGATTTTCCATGTGGTGGGTGGAGGATGATGCAAACATTTTTCGAGGTCACTTGTTCATATGTTCTTGACCCAATAGGAAATACAGAACCCCCCTGCATCTCTAATTCAGAAAATTTCAGGGAACAACTCTGATAGGCTTCGCTGGGGTCACATCCTACTTAGCCAGTGGTTAAAAGAATGCAGCGCCTGGATTGGCCCAGTTCGAGTGCCTTGCCTTCCCTGTTTGTTTTAGAAAAGGGCAGAGTGTAGATCAGTGGTTCCCAACCTTTTTATGGCGATGCCCTACCTAAGATCTCTAAAATACTGATGCCCCTCCCCCGTTCATGACATATAATTCTTTTTTTTTTTTTTAATATTTTGTTGATTTTTTTACAGAGAGGAAGGGAGAGGGATAGACAGAAACATCGATGAGAGAAACATTCAGCTGCCTCTTTCACACTCCCTACTGGGAATATGCCCACAACCAAGGTACGTGCCCTTGACTGGAATAGAGCCTGGGGTCCTTCCATCTGCAGGCCGACGCTCTATGGCTAGGTGGATAGAGCATAGGCCTGCAGCAGATGGAAGGGTCCTGGGTTCCAGTAGGGGGCGTGCAGGAGACTGCAGATCAATGATCCTCATTGATGTTTCTATCTATCCCTCTCCCTTCCTCTCTGAAATCAATAAAAATATATATTTTTAAAAAGTGAACCCCTATTCACGTGGAGGAAGGCTAAAAGGACATTAACTTGGTCTACACAAGCTTCCAAAGAACATGGCATCCATGAAAGAGAAAAATGAAAGAATGAAAGGACAGTTGAAGTACTGAGGAAGAAATCAATAAGAAATTGTTAAAAATAATAATATGAAGTGATATGAAAAATAGCAAATAAAATTTCAAAACATAAGAGAACTGAAACGCATAAATGTCACAATATATATTTATATACTATAGATGAGGCCCCTAGAACCATAAGAAATGCAACAACAACAAAAATCAGCCAAAGCTGGTTTGGCTCAGTGGATAGAGCATCGGCCTGCGGACTGAAAGGTCTCAGGTTTGATTCCGGTCAAGGGCATGTACCTTGGTTGTGGGCACATCCCCAGTAGGGAGTGTGCAAGAGGCAGCTGGTCTATGATTCTCTCATCGATGTTTCTAACTCTATATCCCTCTCTCTTCCTCTCTGTAAAAACTCAAAATATAATTTTTAAAAAGTCAGTTAATACTCATTTTCGAATTGCCCCCCTTAAAAATCAAATCCCGCCTCCCCCCCCCAATGGGATGTGTGGTATGCCCCATGTTGGGAACCACTGGTGTAGATACTGTCATTGTAACCTCACCAGCACCTCTGGGTGGTAGAAGGTAGGGAGAGGCAATTCCCCAAGGAGAAGAGGGGGTACTGGGCTGTCGGCACTAACAGATGTTCCCTATCTCCTAAGCCTTCAATGCTTCATTCTAAGGACCCTACAGATGGATGGAGCCTTAGTTATCCTGGAGTAATACTGCTGTCTAGAAATGCAGAATTTTCCAGTTCTAAGTCATGGGGTAGTTGAGGCACTGGCTGTGTTGATGAACTTCGAATAATTTTGAACTGTAAAAATTATATTTCTGAACTTTCGGAACAAAGGAAAAGCATCCGTTTTACGCTGACGTAATGCATTTTATGCATTCCTCCTTAAGCATATATTGTTTTTAGAAATATGGTTTATACATTGTGTCTAGAATAGCAAACAACTTTTTCTATTTTAACTTGTTTAAATGCCTATTTTTTTAACATAAAAATAGTTTGAATATGTAAGGATTTTTTTGTTTGTTTTTGCATTGGCATGCTCTGAAAAACGTGAAGGGCCAGCTGGTACACTTGTATTGGCCAATATTATTGAGCTCATGCTATGGGCATGGTAATCTGGACATCGATGGGGATATAAACTGGATTAAGATCTATTTCTGGCCTTTCAGAATTTGTAATTTAATGATTTTTATAAGATTAAAACATTCCTCAATTGTAAATACAGAACAGTGTTAAGTCAAAAAGCAATATGGACATTTCAGGAAATGAACACAGGAAAGTAAAAAAAAGCACCTCATTTATGTCTTTCTTGCATAGGGAAAGGGAAGAACTCTCGGGGAAGTGGGAGAGGATGAGACAAAAGGGGGGAACGGGGCGGGAGGACTTTTAAATGGCTATTAAGTTGCAATGCTGAACATGAGACCGGCCACACTTACACGCACGCATCCCTTTCGTAGGAAAGGTGGGAGCGCAGAGCAACTTACATCTTGCCTATAAAGAAAGGGTAGTCCTCCCTGTACTCCCCAGAGAGCCAGGAAGCTGGGTCAGACTTTTAAACACGGTCCCTTTCCCCCAGAAACGTGCCCTCCATGGGATTGGCCAATACACACGATATTGGGAGTTGAACGGGCCCACGGAGGCCCGTCCCCGGGCAATCTGGGCTTCGCGGCCCCCGGTTAGGCCCCCAGGTCAGAGCGGGCCTAACTGCTTCCAGCGCGGCCGCCAGCCCGGCTCCGGGCGCGGGGAGACCACGCCTCTGGGCGTCCGCAGCCGCGTCCATTCAGCTTTCTCAGCGGCCCTGGGGAACCGGTCTCACCGGGATCCCGCCCGGCCCGGAGCTCCCGTTTCCAAACACGGACCCGCGTGTGGAGAGGCCATGATTTTCACGGGATCGCTGCGCTCCTGGAACCGCGAGGGGCACACAAAGTTGCTTCACCTCAGCGACAGCGCTGTGAACCCCGACTCCGCCCTCGGGCCGCCTCCCCCGAGCCCCGCCCCTCCGCCCCGCCCACCTCCGGTCCCGCCCTCCCCTGAGCTCTGAGCGTAGCCCCTCTCATCTCGTGGCCCCTCCCCTTGATCGAAGCGCCCAATGAGCGTCCCCAAACACGCTGCAGCTCCCGCCCCTCAAAAAGCACCCCGCCCATTAGCCGATGCAACCAATAAGCGTCCCCGCGTGCTCCTGGCCCCGCCCCTCCCAGCAGGCCCCGCCCCAGGCGCGGGGCGTTGCGGTGGCCGTGCCTCCGCCGCCCGCGCGGAGCCAGATGCCGCCCCCTCCGCCGATCCCTCCTCCGGCGGCCTGGCGCCTCCCTCCCTCCCCGCTGCGGTGACTCACGGAGCGGGAGGCGGAGGCTGAGGTGGCCGCTCCCGCTGCTTCTGCTGCCGCCGCCGCCGCCGCCGCCGCCGCGGCTGCTCGGGGTGAGCGTGCCCCGGAACAGGCCGCCGCGCGTCGCGCACGGACCCGCAGCCCACGCCGGCCCGGCCGGGTCGGGCGGCCCAGGTAAGCGCCGAGGCCAGCCGGCGCCCGGAGCGCCCGGGCCGCGCCGCCCCTGGGATCGGGGGAGCCGCCGGCCCTTTGTCTCCCGGGGAGGGGCCGCGGAGGGCACCCCCGACCCCGCTCGGACCCGCCGGCTGGGCCCCCGGCGCGGCGCCCAGGTCTGGCCAGGCCTCCTCGCCCCGCCGGGCCGCCGCTGCCCCCCCGCCGCTCGCCGGCCCCGCCGGAGACCACCCTGCGGGGTCCTCACCTTGTCGCGGAGGCGCCTCCACAGGTGTCCGAGCCGCCCGCTCTGCAGCTCACCTCGCCGCGTCCGCTGCTTGTCACCCTCTGTCAGCGCCCAGGTCCTGCGTCCTGGCTCTCCCCTCACCTGAGCCCCACTCAGCATCGGACCCTGTGCACGGAGCTCCTCCATATTCCCCCAAACTAACCGCTGCCAGGGTCTGGCCCCTGGGCTGCCCTCCCTCCCTCCAGTTTGCTGAACTGCGGGCTCCCCTCTCCACCCCTCCCCGGGAGTGTTCCAGAAAGGAGTACACTGTAGGCACACGTCTCACCTGGATGGCCAGCTGTTGGCGAGCCTGCAAAATTAACCACTTGGCGCCCCAGACTGCGCTTCTCACCTCCTTCCCATCACCCCCAGCCCGGCCACCTTCCTTTTTCTGGGACCTGGTATTCAAGACGCATAGCTCTGGACACCCCCCTGTTAGGCCCACACGGCCCCTCCCTCTGCGCGCTGAACTTGTTGGAGCAGTGCCTGCTGTCAGGTTAGCCCCCCGGGAAGGCCGAGGAGGCCTGTGTTGGCAGCAAATCAAGAGTTTTATGAGTAAATGAGATGTGTGGCTTTGCAGCACCTCCTATCCGAGGATCTAAGTATGCTGGAGCTATTAGTTTGTGTCCTGTCGCTCAGGAGTCAGGGGAGTGTGCCTGGCTGACTGCTGGGTAAATTGAGGCACAGGGTGTGTTGGTAAGGGACCCCCCGGGCAAGTAGGAGTTTGTTGAGAGGTGCTGGTCCCAAGTACCTTGACTCTTCGCTTCCTGCTACAACTGCTGGGCTCTGGTTCCTGGCTTTAGGAGGTAAATGATCCTGATCTTTGGGGCCATTAAACTATCCATAGATACCGATTTCCTGTCCCTTAGAGCAGGACTGAATCCTAAAGGTGCCAGCTGTGAAATGCCAGTGTGTCACTCATGGTTTCTGGGCGGAGTTTGTGGCCTTTGTAAATACAAGTTGCCTGTATGGGCTAGAGATTCATCCATTCACCAGTGAGTGCTTACTTGTCAGGCATTAGTCCAAGCATGGGGCCCCCTGCCCTCCTGTGGCCCACATTTGAAAGAGGAGGGAGTAAACAGATAAGCAGACAAATTCATTTCAGTAGCGGTATGTGCTATGGACGTGAGAAGGACCCGTTAGGCTTTTATTCCACGTGCAGTGAGAAGCCACTGAAGGATTTTCAGTAGACGTGATAAGATCTAAATCTGAGTTCTCAAAGATCGTGTGGCTGCTCTGTCGTGACTGGATTACAAGAGGCAAACATAGAAGCAGGGGTACCACCCGCTGCCTGCAGAAGGTGATGGAGGCTTGAGGGACCAATGGTGACAGAGAAAGCGAAGAGGTGGAACCAGGCTGCTTCCCGGGAGAAGCTGAGCTGTAAGGAAACCTTCATGGAACATCCACTGAGATTTCTGTGTCAGGCAGAGAACTCCTGGACCTGACCATGCCCAGGTGTAGCTCACTAAGCTTACTCAGCACCTGTTGTGAGCGTAGGGCAGGGGTGGGGAGCCTTTTTCCTGTCAAGCACCTTTTGGATATTTATAATATCATACAAAATTATCAGCTTAAAAGTTAGCCTGCTGCCATAGTGGTGTGGGTCAGCAGTTGAGCGTTGACACAGGAACCAAGAGGTCACCGGCTCTATTCCTAGTAAGGCTCCTGCCCAGGTTGTGGGATTGATCCCCAGTGGGGGATGTGCAGGAGGCAGCCAATCAATGATGTTTTTCTCATCGATATTTCCCACTCTGTTCCTCTCTCTCTCTCTCAAAAAATCAATAAAAATATATATTTTTAGCCCCCCCAGTTTGGCTCAGTGGATGGAGCCTCGGCCTGCGGATTGAAGGGTTTGATTCTGGTCAAGGGCACGTACCTCGGTTGTAGTCTTCTCCCCTCCCCAGCCAGGCTCTGGTCAGGGCGTGTGCAGGAGGCAACCCACTGATGTGTTTCTCTCACATCGATATTTCTGTCTTTCCCTCTCTCTTCCACTCTGTCTGAAAATCAGTGGAAAAATATATTTGGGTGAGGATTAAAAAATAAATGAATGAATAAATAAAATAAAAATAAAAATGTGCCAAACAGCTAATTAACTCACCCCTAATGCCTTGGCAGGACCAGACCAAATGATTTCTCAAGCCTTATATGGCCCATGGTCGGACGTTCCCCACCCCAGCTCTAGGGGTACAAAGATGAACAAGAGGAATAGGGGGTAGTTCCCACGGTATAACCATCCTCACACAGGGTTACCTCCTCGAGGGAAAGAGGGCAGCGGAGGCGGGCAGAGGATGGTAGGCTTTGTTCCCACATCTAGCTGCATCTAAATGAGAGCAGTATAGCCCTTTCGCTGCTGTGAGATGTTGCCCAAAGAAATCGGAACATGTTCTTGGGTAGGAGAACATGGACAAGATCAATGGCCATGAACTTGTACCATGAGACAGAATAAAACTTGATCTCCATGCCGCTCCAAATCTGTGCTGTCAGAGCATGTCAGAACTAGAGGACCTCAGGGGTTATGTAGGCCAGCCCCACTTTTATGGCTGGGGATCTGTGCCCCTCGAGGCTGACTATGGGACCTCTTGGAATCCCATGGCAGTTTGTACATTTTTCTTATGGCACCCGCCCCTTCTGCCTCTTTCAGCTCCATGTGTACGTGCGTGACTCGGAGCTTACTGAGACCAGGATTGCTATTGGGTTCATTTTGCATTTCTCGCAGGGCCTCGGTCAGTGTCCTGTACAAAAAGTAAACTCACCAAGTATTGGCCGATGTGCCTGGATGTTTCACAGCATCTAAAACTAGAAGCCAGCACTCCTGACCCTTGTCCCTCCTTGTCTTGTCATCAGACCACAGTTCCCTTCAGATTCTTAGATTTCTCCTCATCCGGTGTGCGACACTGGTGAGCCCAGCAGTCTCCCTCTCACTGGGCTCCCAGGCCAGGGCAGCCCCTCTTAGATGAGTCTGCTCTCTCCAGCCCTGCCTACGAGGAACAGCTGCTGGGCTTGGATCTAGGTTCTGCCATCATGAGCTGCGTGACCTTGACCCCTAAGATATAAACTTCATTACACCATGTAACTTGACCCCTCTGTGCCTCAGTTTCCCCATCTGTAAAATAAGTATTGAAAGAAGGGAGGATTAGATTAAGCAACACCTAGCAGAAGCTTAGAACAGCACTGAGTGCCTGCTTGGTGTAAGTAGCAGCTATTATTTCACCATTATTTATTTATCTGATCTCCCAACAGAATTTAAGCTCTTTGGGTGCAGAGATTTTGTCTTTCTTATTTTGTGTGTGTGTGTGTGTACTGTTTTTTAAAGTGCCTAAACTTTATAGGTCTTCAGCAAATAATTGTTAATTTGAATGACTCATTGAACCACCTACTGGGTGCCAGGGATGCTGGGGATGTAACCAAGAACAAGATCACCAAGACACATGATCTAATGGAGTTTATATTGTAGTGAGGCAGCCAGTAAACAATAGACCAGTGGACAAAATAACCTAGAATGGCGAAAAGAGATACAGGGAGAATAAAACTGGGCAATGAGATGGAGAATGACTGGGGTGAGGGTAGGTCATAACTTTAGCTAGCTCTTGGAGGGGACTTGGAATGGACACCCCATCGATGGGCAGACAGGACAGCAGGGGCAGAAGCAATAAGCCCAGCGGGCCTGGAACGAGGTGGGTGAGGGGTTGGTAGGGGCTGACTCTGTGACCACAGTGAGGAGTTTGGATTTGACTCTGAACAGTGGGAAGTCACTGCGCAGGCATTCTTCCTGTCCACCTGGCAAAGAGCAGGACACTGGGATGAGCAGTGAGTGGGCTCTCCTTGTCCTTGGAAGACTTTGGGAGGCCAGGAGAGCAGCAGTGACTCATTTATTCCCATCAAGTTCCTCATTTTTGTGGCCGGATACTTAGGAGATATGGGGCCATTGGCGAGGTTGGTGAAGGTGCAGGCATGTGTCTGTGTGTCCTGCAGACTTCACTGAGCCTTCTTTCCCCTGAGTACATAAGTGATCAGTAACATCTCTTGAGTTGAATGAATGAGCATTGCCAGATCTTAGCATGTTGTCCTATGTAAGGGCATGTCCTATGTTCTCTGCTTGCTTCTGCAGGAGTTAAAGCTTCTTACCTTGGTATTGACTCTAAAGTAACCTTGGAGTTTTGCTATTATTCTTCAGATGTGCACCAGAGACACCCACACACTAACATGTCACAGTGTCTCTGTTGGAGGAACTCCAAGATTGACAAGGCAGCTTTCTGCCACCCCACCCCATCCCCCCACACCCTTCTCTTCCAGTCTCCTGCTGATGTCCCAGGCCCTCTCTAGAAGGTTGGGCCACGCTGTCTGTGTTTGGTCACTTGGTCAGGAGCACAGTGGTACCTAGAAAGCATTGGCTGTCCTGGGTGGAGTTGGGACGCCCAGCAGAGCACTCAGAGAATGGCATTTCAAACCGAGGGCTCCAGCTCGCCAGGAATCCAGAGTTGGCCTCTTCAGACTGGGTACAGTTGGCCAGCTTCTCAGCTCCTCATTTAGGCGTCTCATTGTCAGTTGATGTCCATGATGCCACTTGCTCTTAACCTTGAGAGGCCAACAGGAGTTCGTGGGAATCCAATCGGACTTTTGTGTTGTAAGTCACCATCAGGATGCGAAGTGCCAGTTAGTCATCTGTAGCCTTGTAAAAACTCAACAGTGTGGGTGCAACCGCTTTCTCAAGTAACTGGTTTTGTGTTTCTTTTTTTTTTTA